GAACAAAATTTTTTTGAGGGCACAAGGGATCAGTACCAGATCTAGTGCTATACAAATAACAGTGAAGCAAACAAAGCCAGTGTTTTAGTGAAGGTTACAATCTAACAGAGGTGACAAACATAAGAAAGAAAGAAAGAAAGAAAGAAAGAAAGAAAGAAAGAAAGAAAGAAAGAAAGAAAGGGAGGGAGGGAGGGAGGGAGGGAGGGAGGGAGGGAGGGAGGGAGGGAGGGAGGGAGGGAGGGAGGGAGGGAGGGAAGGAAGGAAGGAAGGAAGGAAGAAAGAAAGAAAGAAAGAAAGAAAGAAAGAAAGAAAGAAAGAAAGAAAGAAAGAAAGAAAGAAAGAAAGAAAGAAAGAAAGAAAGAAAGAAAGAAAGAAAGAAAGAAAGAAAGAAAGAAAGAAAGAAAGAAAGAAAGAAAGAAAGAAAGGAAGAAAGAAAGAAAGAAAGGAAGAAAGAAAGAAAGAAAATGATATCAGGCATCAATAGGTAGGGGATGTGGTATAATCAGGTACAGCTTTACTGAGAGGGATTCTGAAAGCAAAGGGAACAGCAAGGGTAAAAGGCCTCCTCTCTAAGGAGAGAGCATCCTTGTCAAGCTGATGGATGTGGCTGAAGCAGAGTGAGCCAGGGAAGAATGTAGGATAGGGGTCAGGGATAAGTCATGGTTAAGTTTTTAGTGCCTTGCAGGACATAACTAGAACTTTAGATTTATAACTATGACAGGAAATTATTAGAGGGTTTGGAAAGAGAGGGACTTATGTTTTAAAAGGAATAATCTGGCTGTTTATAGAAAACAAATTGCGATGAAAAAAAGGATATGGAAAAACTGAGTATAAGGACACTACTTGTTTGTTCAAATCCCAGTCTAGATGTTTCATGGGGATAAATTTTAGATGTGATTAACATTTAAATCAATAGACTTTGAATACAGCAGATTATTCTCCATAGTGTTGGTGGGCCTCATCCAATCAGTTGATGAATTTAAGAGCAAAAACTGAAGCCTCCCAAAGAAATGCACTTCTGCCTCCACAGTGCAATGTAGAAATTCTGCCTGAGTTTCTAGGCCTCAACTTAAGTTCTTAACATCAACTTTTGAATTTTCAGCCTGTCAGGTTGCCCTATAGATTTTGAGCTAGCCAGCCCCTCCAATTATGTGAGCCAATTTCTTCAAAATCACTATGTGGGTGTGCATGTAGGGATATGTGTTCTATTGTATCTGTTTCTCTGGATAATCCTAACTAATACGAGAAGAAAAAAAATAAAGTAATAAGATAGAGGAACATTAATTGATTGAATCACAGGAGATTCCTTCTAATTAGAGGACTTCATATAAGGAAATGACATTTGACTGGAATCTTAAAGGATTTGTTTATTAATTTGTTCCTCAAATATTGAACTCCTCTGTTGAGATGATGGGGATATAGTAGTAAGAAAAACTAATTAATAAGGAATCCCTGACTCATGGGTTTTACACTCAATTGAGGGGAGAGATGCAAACAATATAAATAAGTACATTACATCATATGTTAGGATAGAGTTATGGAGAAATATAAAGCAGAAAAGGGCCAATAGGAAGTGATAGACATATGATAGGTAATATAAAATACCACTGTCACGTATTTTGAAAAGATGTAATTTGAGTAAATATTTAAAACAGGTTATAAATGTGGTTATAAAAACATGGTAGCCAAAAGAAACAATAGCTAATGTCTTGAGACAGTAGCACCTGGCTTTTTCAATAAACGTAAGTGGGGCCAGAGTGTCTGAAAAGGAAGTGGGAAAAAGTGAAAGACGGGATCAGAGTGAGGCCCTGCTGTCTAGGGTCAGAAAGCTATTCTGAGGATTTGGGATTTTGCTTGGAGTGCTATAGAGAGCCATCAATTGGGAGGTTTTGAGCAGAGGTGTAACATGATATGATTTACATTTAGCAGAAATACTCAGGATGTTGTGTGAAGAATAGTGTTTAAATATTTGAATATGAAGATAAGGACACACAGAGGCAATAGGTATGAGGTTTTAGAAATACTCTTATTTTCCACTAGGTTTTTGTCACAGTTAAATCTTAATCTGGTATTTATGTTAGTGTAAGGAAAAGAAAGAGATTAAATTTTACATTTGTCCACAGGAATAAGTAGTTATCTGAGAATAGTATTTTAAAAGTCCAGGATGCCTAACTCATCAAAAATCCCATCTCTGTGGTATACAAGTCCTGGGATGTACACATGGATACTTCTTAACTCTTTATTCTCCTCATTTTATCTATTTCTTCATCAGTAGTCCAGTAGCAAAGACTTCATATCACAAAGTTCACATTCTTTGATCACAAATGTACTGAAACTTAATCAATAACAAAAACACACACATTCAGAGAAATTTAATGACATACTGAATAAGTCAAAGGAAAGTCTTAATGGAAATTATGAAATATTTATACATGAAGAGCAATAAAAGCAGTACACCCTTGAACCTTATGAGTTGCAGATAGCATCACAATTCAAGGAACATTGATAACTTTAAATACATACATGAAGAAAGAAAAAAAAAAGATAAACCTCTTTCTGATTTCCTGACTTCTATTGAGTTAAGTATCCTTCATTTGTCATTTTCCCTTTAGTGGTTTGCTCTTTCTTTTAATAGCTTTTAGTGGTTTAGCTCTTTCTTTTAATAGCTTTTCTTAAATTTTTAACAGATGTGCATCACTTAACAAAATCAAAGGTGCTCAATAGTTTACTCTTCTCCCAGCAACACAAGCACTGTAGAATAATGCACCTATAATCACTAAGCTCACCCATCATCCACATGACATTTGCCTGGTATTATGTTCGACCTTGTATTTAATCTCCTCCTTCCTTGAACACTCTTCCTGCAGCATCCACATGCTTTTCTCTTGCATGCCCTTCAAGTATTCGCTTAGAAGCACCTTCTCAAAGCTATCCACACTGATCACCCTGTTTGAAATCACAATGTACAGCGCCCACCTCCACACACACCCAGTGTTCCAAAACTCCTTAGCATGAATTTATTTTGTCCATAGATATTTTCACCTTTTTATCATACTATAGAAGTTATTTATTATGCTTATCATTTATTGTCTCCTTCTTGGAATTCCAGAAAGGCAGTTTGCTTTAATTTTTTTTAATGGTTGTAATTCCAAGCACCAAGAAGAATGCCTGGTACATAGAAGACACTCAAAATATTTAAATATATGAATGATTATATGCCATCACTCTGACTGCTGTCTTGAGAATAGACTATGGAATGTTAAGAGTGGGAGCAGGAAGTTCCACTAGGAAGCTATTGCAATTACCCATGAAATCTAGGAGGGGCCATTTCAGATGGGAAACAGTGACCAAGGTCTGAAAATATAAAGCCAACAAAATTTGCTAAAGGACCAAGTCCTCCAAAGTTTTGGCTCTGATAAATTAATCAAAAGTATGGAGCTGCCATTAGCTGAGATGGGGAAGGCCAGCGGGGAGAATCAGGATTGGGGTGTGGAGTATCAGCAGCTCAGTCTGCACTATGAATGTGATGTTAAAGTCACATGCAGTGCAGTTCTCCATCAGCAAATAGTAAACCAGAAACATTTTCTCTGTTGTTCAGTAGGGTTTCCATTAGGATACTTGTAATTTTCCCCACTGTATAACTTAATTTTCCACTTTCTATTAAAAAATGATGCGCTGGCTGGCATAGCTCAGTGGATTGAGCTCGGGCTGCGAACCAGGCATCACAGGTTTGATTCCCAGTCAGGGCACATGCCTGGGTTGCAGGCCACGGCCCCCAGCAACCACACATTGATGTCTGTCTGTCTCTCTCTCTCTCTCTCTTTCTCTCTCTCTCTCTCTCTCCTTTCCTCTCCTTCTCTTCCCTCTCTAAAAATAAATAAATAAAATCTTTTAAAAAAAAGAATGTATGTTTTCATCAATATTTAAAAAAAAATTATGAGTAGTTGCATCAAAGTCCCCTGCCCCTCTCCCGTGTGGAAGTTAACTGACTAAAAGGGTCAGTACTTGTAAATATGTGTCCACTTCAATTATACGGCACTGTCAACAACCTGAAATCATCAAATAAAAAGTTATTTGAAACACAGAAGTACTGAAAAATTTCATTTATTGTCACAGAAAAATACTGATTTTGTAGTAAACAATGTAAGTGATAGCATGGATTTAAAACATTCAACAAAATAAAGTTGATTTATATTGCAATGTAAGCAAAATCAGCAACTAAATACACTCTGTCCTAGATTTTAGCCCAATCAAAGCAGTTTTTTATTTGAACTTTTCTAGTCACCAAAACCATAAGTCTGTTTCAAACTTAAATTTCGAGAAAATTTTTGTCCAGATAAATTAACTGGCTACAATTTCCTGTGTTTATGTTTTATCTTTCTAGACAGTCTCTTCAGATAAGAAAAAAAGCAGCAAATTTTTAAATTATTGTTTGACAAAATACTAATTTAGAATGGCACTATATCATAGAGTATATTCTGACTTTATCCATCGTCTCTGAGGAAACAAGCAATATGATGTTGAAGGTTTATGGAATAACAACAAAAAAAGCAACGCAGGGAAGCTGAGTCTATGAAACTAACATACAGGATTTTGCGCAGGCTTGGTCCATTGTCAGCATCTTCTCTCCCGTGACCTCTTTTACACGACACAGTGATGCCTGCGTTTTGCAATCTAGATTACCATCCAGACGCCCTTCGCAGTGATTCCGATTAGATCCACAGAAAATGCCTTCAGGATAGTCTAATCCCTGCATGAGAGAGCCAGCCACTCAAGGCTTCTTCTCCTGTAGCCCATGGCTTTCTGGTCGGCTACTCTTGCAGTTTATTTCGCCTCGGTTCTGGTCCCGCCCGCTGGGGCTGCTGCGCACCTGCACCCGGGGCGCTGGGCTCGAGCCTGTGCAGGAGACTGGAGCCAGCAGAGAGCGTGGTCTCCAGAGCCAAGAAGATTGGCCTAGCCGTTAGGGGTCCGAGCCTCCACGGCATCCTTGGCGTTCCGCCATGGTTCTGAGGAATGAGTTAAGTTGCTTATGGACTTTGGGTTTCTGTCTGGTAGCCGGTAAATTGTCTTTCACTGTCCCATCCATAGAAGATGAGAGTTTCATAGATGACTGTGTCGCCGCTCACAACGAAATGCGTGGCCAAGTTCAGCCCCCCGCGGCCAACATGAAATACATGGTGAGAAAGAACCGGGCTGGGATCTTACTGGGTTCATCCTAAGGCATCTTGGTGATTAATTTTATGGATGCATTTGTATGAATTCGCTCAGCATTCAATTAAAAATCACACCTTGGCTGACCTGTCTTCTACAAGGTACTGATAGAAGGGAATCAGAAAGAAAATCTTGAAGCTGATCTTTGCCTAGACTTAAATATGTGTGTGTATTTACATACAGGATGGGGATCTTTTTCTGGCATGGATTTATGTTAATTGACATTTTGATGCATTTGAGTATTTTTTTTTTAATTTGTCAGGACAAAAGTAGTGTTTGAGGCTAGGGATGATTATCTCCCACTATTAAGGAAAGATCCTTCTGAGTACTCAATTCCCAAGATTCTGAGGTTTTCCGATCTCGCTTGTGGGTAGAAGCAATATTCCCAGTACTGTGTAAGTATTAGGTAATATGCTCTTATCCTTTTGAGTGATTCATTCTCTGGCTTTGGATATATTCTTCATATGTGTGTGCTAATCAATAGTCTGCTATTGGAGGCAGAGGTCTCTCCTTTCTGGTATTCCAGTACAGCCTGGGCAACAATCATAGGACTCACCTTGTTGGTATCCCTCCTCTCAAAGATCACTGGTTGCCTGATGTCATAGGTCTTGACAACTGCTTTTTCACATGTGCATTTTATGTTTATTGTTTCAAATAAGAAGTTAAATGTAGTCCTGTTACTGCATCTTGGCCCAAAACCGAAGTGCTGTTAGCTAAGTTTTCAACAGGTGTTTCTCCTCCTGTCACGTACTATTGAATCATCTGGGAAAACTAGGCACCTCATTTTATATCTATTTCTATAAATGTCAGAAAAGGTAGACTACAATGTGTTAACAAATAAACCTTGAAATCATGCAAGCTTTTTTTATTTTTTATTAACATATAACCTTTTATTAAAGTATTAAACATAATGATTTAATATCTGTGTGTATTGCAAAATATTTACAATAAATTTAGTTAAGGTTCATTATTTCACATATTTATATTTTTTCCTTGTGCCAAGAACTTTTCAGATCTAATCTCTTAGCAACTAGCAACTTGCAAATGTACATTACAGAATGGTTAACTATACTAGCAATGCTATAGTCTATAAATCATAAACTTGTTTACCTTGTAACCAGAAGTTTGTACATTTTCCACACCTTTACCCTTTCACCTACTCCCCACCCCCAGACTCTGACAAGCACCAACCTGTTCTCTGTATCATGAATTTTGTTTTTTAACATTCCACGTATAAGTGAGATCATACAGTATTTGTCTTTCATTGTCTGACTTATTTCACTTAGCATACAGGTATTTTTAAAACAACACAGGTGTAGCATCTCACTCACACTACTCTCCACATCACCTGTTCTCCATGCAGTGCCTCTGGGCTATTTACATCTTGGTTCTTTCATGTCAACATTTGTTCTTCAGAGTCACATTGAGAAAGCTAGAGGGCTACACCAGAGTTTTGTGATCAGACCTAAAGGTGATATATGCCAGTCCCACCTGTATCTTTCTGGCCAGAGTTAGTCTGGTGACCCTAGTTGGCTTACCCTTAAATGTCTCTACTACAGACTGCTTTTGTGGTCATCAAATATTGTTTTATTCCTTTCCTTCCATATGTAGAACAAATTCAAGGCCTCACTCAAAGGATTAAACACAATAGTGTTTAGGTACTGAATCAGAGTCTCATAACATTGAGTGGTATGCTATAATTTTTTCAAAAAGGTTGGTTGTGGATACCCTTGGCCATGTGACTGTGTGTGTCCTCCACAGAAACAACATTTAATGCTAGCACAAAGATAACTACAATGAACATTTCTATTCAGGTAGTAGAAGAAAGGGACCCACACAGCCATCATTGGTTCAGAGCGATTTTGAAATCTGTAGAGCAAGTATTATGAAGAGCCGCTAACCTGGAGGTCAGAAAATTTCTTTCACTAAGGATGGTAGGAGTTCCCTTGTCCCTTGTGTTTTTGTGGTCCCCATCTTCTCCTTCTAAAATGTTCTTCCTTGTCCATCATCTCCTTGGCCCAATTTTCACTGAAAAACTTAATAGAAATTTAAAGCTTGTTGGATGGGCTCAATAGCAGAATAAATGTGACAAAGGGGGAAAAATCAGAGAATCAAAACCAGGATACAATAGGATACCAAATGTGAACAACAGGGAAAATGGACTGAAAAAAGAGAACAGAACATCAGGGGTCTATGAGACAATAGCAAATATCTAACACTCATGGCATTGGCATTCCAGATGGAATGGAGAAAGATGGGGAAGGGCAGAAAAAATGTGGGTAAAGACATAAACAATAAACCTGAGAGATGACCAAATATGATGAGCTTAAAGAATTTCAAGCCAAGATACAATATAATAAAACTTCATAAACTTAAGACAAAAAATCTTAAAAGCAGCTGAAAAGATATAGCACACTAGCTAAAAGAGAACAACAAATTCAATGTCATCAAATTTCTCATCCAAATCCATGGGTGCCAGAAGGAAGTGGCACAACATTTTCCATTTTAATTTCAGTGTCAGTTTCAAAGAAGACTCATCTAAGAAGTCTACACAGAGAAAATATACTTCAGGAGTGAAGGTAAAATTAAGATATACTCATATTCAGGAACTAAGATAATTTGTCATAAGCAGACCTACTCTAAAACAATACTTAAGGAAAGATTTTCAAACGTAAAGTAATGATAAAACAAGGACCCTTGCAACATCAGAACGAAGAAACTAAAAGGCAAAGAGTAAAAATATGGGTAAATATAATAAAGTAGTCTTCTCTTATATTTTCTAAATTATGTTGACACTTGAAGGAAAAATTATACCATTGTCTTACATGATTCTTATGTATGTAGGTTTTTAAGACATATTTTTTCTATTTTGTTTGTTTATTTATTTATTTTGTTCTTTACATTCCACGTATAAGTGAAATTTTATGATATTTGTCTTTTCCTGTCTGACTTATTTCACTTAATATAATACCCTCTAAGTCCATCCATGAGTTCAAATGATAAAATTTCAGCTAATATTTAATTGTATATATGCACAACCTCTTCTTTACCCACTTATCCATTGATGATTGTCTCTTACAGATTGCTCCTATATCTTGGCTATTGTAAATAATGCTTCCATTAACATAGGAGTGCATATATATTTTTTCAAATTAGTGTTTTGAGTTTCTTTGGATAAATACCCAGAAGTGGAATTCTGGGTAATAAAGTAGTTGTATTTTTAATTTTTTGAAGAAACTCTATACTGTTTTTCCACAGTGGCTGTACCAGTATGCATTCCCACCAATACTGCATGAGGGTTCCCTTTTCTCCACATCCTCACAGAAACTTATTTGTTGATTTATTGTTGATAACCATTCTGACAGCTGTGAGGTGATATCTTATTGTGGTTTTAATTTGTATTTTTCTCATGATTAGTAATGTTGAGCATCTTTTCATATGTTTATTGAATAACTATATGTCCTCTTTGGAGAAGTGTCTACTCAGGTTATCTGCCCAGTTTTTCATTAGATTGGGGTTCTGTTGTTGTCGTTGAATTGTATGGGTTCTTTTTAAATTTTTGATATTAACCTGCTATCAGATGTATCATTTGTGAGTATCTTCTCCCAATCAGTAGGTTGTCTTTTCATTTTGTTGATAGTTTCCTTTGCTGTGCAAAATCTTGTTAGTTTGATGTAGTCCCATTTCTTTATTTTGTTCTTTCCCTTGTCTGAGAAGATATTGTATATCAGAAAAAAAATTATTACTGAGTGAAATGTCAGAGAGTTTACTGCCTATGATTTCTTCTGGGAGTTTTATGGTTTCTAGTTTTACATTTAAGTCTTTAATCCATTTTGAGTGTATTCTTATATATGTTGTAAGAAGGTGGTCTAGTTTGCTTGTTTGTTTTTTTGCATGTATCTGTCCAATTTTCCCAACACCATTTATTGAATAAACTGTCTTTACCCCATTGTATATTCTTGCCTCCTTTGTCATAGATTAATTGACCATATATGCCTGGGTTTATTCCTTGGTTCTCTATTTTGTTCCACTGACTTATGTGTCTGTTTTTATGTACTATGCTGTTTTGACTATTATAGCCTTATAGTGTAGTTTGATAACAGGTAGCATCAACTTTGTTTTTCTTTCTCAAAATTGCTGTGGCTATTCAGATCTTTTGTGGTTCCCTATAAATTTAGAATTATTTGTTCTAGTTTTGTGGAAAATGCCATTGGTGTTTTGATAGGGATTACATTAAATCTATATATATATATCTTTGGGTAGCATGGACATATTTTTAAGACATGTATTTAAGACAATTGTATTATTGGTGGAGTGAATGGTAAAAGGACCTAAATAGGAGTACAGTGGCTCCCCCTTATCTGTGAGAGATACATTCCAAGACCCTCAGTGGGGGTCTAAAACCATAGATAACGCCAAACCCTATATATTGAAACTGTGGATAGTATTGACCCATCACACACACACACACACACATGTTTTCTGTTCATGTCTTCCACCCACAAATTTAATGCCTTTTTCACCTTAACTAAGCACTCATTACATACTGTGGCCATAACTATGGAGTTCAACATGCAACAGCAAAATTAGCAAAAAATTCTAATTCTTTCTTCATAATTTCATAAATAGAAGATTCATTCTTACCATAGATTTTAGCAACTTCAGCACACAATATTTGAAGGAAGCACTTTACAGCTTCTCTTTGGCATACCCAATTGCTAGCCTTCCTTACTACCCTTGCACTTTGGGGCCGTTAAGTAAAATAAACGTTACTTGAACACAAGCACTGCAATGTTGCACCAGTAGATCTGAAAACCAAAACAGCCACTAAGCAGGTAACATGAATGGTATGGACACACTTGACAAAGAAATGATTCACATCTTAGGATGACATAAGATTTCATGAAGCTACTAAGAACATCATGCAATTTAAAACTTCCAAATTGCTTATTCCTGGAGTTTTTTATTTAACATTTTATTTTGGACCATGTTTGACCACAAATAACTAAGAAAGTGAAAGCAAGACCACAGATAAGAGGTTCTGCCCTCAGGGCCCCCCCACCTGCTGCCACAGATGAAAATAAGTCTACCAAGACATGATCTGTTGAGGGAGAAAAGGTGGCAGATCTCTCAAAGGAGAAGAACCAAGAGCCTTTTCCTCAGTGGGCTTTTATTGGGTTCATTTTGCACAGAAGTACAAGTAAAGCTCATCAATCATCATCAGGCAGTAAGGATCAAACAACAGATAACATACACAAGATCTATGAGGGCTTATTCTGAGTCAGGGTCAGTTAGCTAAAGGGCTATAAAACTTTGGGAAACAAACTCATATCCTGCTCAGACCCTTATCAGAAAGTTGAGAGCATTCTTAGCAAAGCAGGTTTCACAGGATTTTATGCATTCTTCCTTAGGCCTGATTGCCCCAGGGAACCCGTACTTTCTAGCACAGGGCTACAATGCCCTACATCATTATTTCAGGCTTAAGTCAGGCAGGGGAAGTAAGGCAGCCAAGAAATTAGGATACTTCTTGCATACAGAATGAGGACTCAAGCTATGTCAAAGCCAAGGGGTGAGAGTCTTTGACCCCCTTTTGCTATAGCCCCCCAAGTCCTTCCCTGGGGCCCCTGTGACCATGCCTGTCTTAGGTTGTCCCTTCCTTGAAGAATCTTACCCACCAGTGGCTAACTGGTCATGCACTCAGGGACAGGCAAGGTGAAGTAAAAGGGGCAGAGGAAGCGCCCCTGACAGGAAGATAAGCTTTGTCTCCTTAGTGGCTCATGGTCCCAAGGTCTCTCACTCAGCCTTAGCCATGGGGGCTTATAGCTTCTGAAACCAGGCAGGGTGGTTCTCAACACTACTGTAATATTTGTACACTCAGTTAAACTGGTAAAATGCCAATACCAGAGAGAGGTTATTTTTTTTTAGATTTTATTTATTTATTTTTAGAGAGGGAAGGGAGGGAGAAAGAGAGAGAGAGAGAGAAACATCAATGTTTCTGGGGGCCGTGGCCTGCAGCCCAGGCATGTGCCCTGTCTGGGAATCGAACCTGCGATGCTTTGGTTCGCAGCCCACGCTCAATCCACTGAGCTATGCCAGCCAGGGCGTTGTCCTATATATTTTATACTGCCTAAAATCCAGTACAGTTCTTATTAAAGATTTTATTTATTTAGTGAAGGAGGGGAAAAGAGGGAGAAAGAGGAGAGAAACATCAATGTGTGGTTGCCTCTTACACCCCCTCTAATAGGGACCTGGCCTGCAACCCAGGCATGTGCCCTGACTGGAAATCCAATCAGCATCCCTTTGGTTCACAGACTGGCACTCAATCCACTGAGCCACACCAGCCGGGGCTCCAGTACAATTTTAAATAGAAATGAGACATCTTGTTTCATTCCCATTCTTGGGTGAAAGCTTTCAATATTTCACCATTTTTGTATTAATGCTTTCGGTATAGTTGCCACACACACACACACACACTTGATCAAATTAAGGAAATTCTATTCCTAGTGTGCTAGGATGATTTTTCCTTTTTAATTATAAGCGAGTAGTCATTGTTTACTTATGATATATTTGCATGTCTTTCTGAATTACTAGACTGTGAACTTCAACTTATTTAAATCACATTCAAATGTTTGCTGACTGCTTATACTGTACCAGGACAAAAATGAACTGTCATAGAGTGGGTAATAGAGAGTTTCTGAAGCACAACTAAAAGGAAATGACAAATGGTAAACAAAATAAATGCTAAAGAAAAACTGTACTTTATTAAAATTAAAATTTAAATAAAATTTAATTGATTACAATAATTAGAATAACTTTAATGCAAACAAACATGCACAATTTAATTTAAATTATTTTTGTCTTCCAGACTTGGGATGAAGGTTTAGCAAAGACAGCAAAAGCATGGGCAAACAAGTGCAAATTTGCCCACAACAGCTGTTTAAAAAAATCATATAAATGTCATCCAACTTTTGAATTTGTTGGAGAAAATATCTGGAAAGGTGGATTACCTATATTTACACCAAAAGTTGCTATTGTTGCTTGGTATAGTGAAAAAAATCTTTATAATTATAGTAGTCTACATTGTTCCAAAGTTTGTAGCCATTATACACAGGTAAGTATTTGACATTTTATTGATTAGTTCTTATTTATGCCCATTTCAATCACAAAACATGTTTTTTAGTATTTTCTTTTGAGTTTCTGTTGTATATCCTAAAAACTCACCTTCATTTAAAAGATAGTTTTACTGGGTATAGAATTCCATGGAGCTTTTGTTTTTTGAACTTTAAAGATTACTCTCCTGTCATCTCAATGCATTAATTCCAATAAGCATTACACTGTCAGCCTTTCCTTTATTTCTGTGCATATAATGTCTTTTTTCCTTTGATTAACTTCAAAAATTTTTCTTTGTGTCAAGTCTTGAACAATTTCATTACTAAAGATTTATTCATATTTTTGTGTTGCAGTTAACTGAGTTCCTTAAAACTGTAGCTCTATAGTTTAAATCAAAGTTTGAAAAATGTTGGATATATTTCTTGAAATGTTTCTCTCACCATCTCTCACTTCTCTCCTCCTGGAGTGCAGTCACCAGTGTAGAAGGCCACCTGAGTTTTCCTATGGTTGATTGATGTTCTCTTCTCTTTTTGCCTTAAATTTCTTAACTTTTTAAAACTCTGTGATTAATTTCACATAGCCATATTTCTTTAAATTCATGAATATTTTCTTCTCTAATGTTTAATTTACTGTTATAGACATTTAGTTTATTTTTCATCCTAGATGTTAAACTTTACCTCTCTAGAAGTTTGATTTTGTCTTTTTTATATCATCAGTAGCTACCTAAAACTCTTGACCTTTTATCTAGTTTTTCAATCATATGAGATAGTTATAGTAATTGTTTTAACATTTTCTCTGTTAATGCTAGCATCTATTTTAGTTCTGGGGTACTTTCAATAGATTGATTTTCCCTCATGATTTATCAAATTTTTCTGCTTATCACATTGGGTATGCTTTATTATATTCCCAATTTTGTAAATGTTGGGAATATTTTTCTGCTTATCACATTGGGTATGTTTTATGATATTCCCAATTTTATAAATTTTGCCTTGTGGGATACTTGATTTATTTATATACTTATAATATTCTTGAATTCTCCTATGGGTTACAGTTAAGTTACCTGGAATTTGTTAAATCCTTTTTTTTCCTGCTTTTAAAATATGAAGTGGAATGAAGGCAATGTTTAGTTGGGGCTATCTCTCACCAGTGAGGCCACACTCTTCTGTATACTCTACGCTAGTGCCCCAGAAATTATGAAACACACCAATCTAGATAGTGGGAACGGCTCTCCTCCTGGCCTAATGTAAACTCCAGTATTCTTTCCTGCACTTTTTATAAGTGGTTCTGTCTCAGGTCGAGGGTAGTTTATTCAAATGAATGCTCTGATTAGTGCTGTGTTGAATTGATGATGGGGATACCCTGAAGATCTCCATAGTAGTGTCAGAGTTAGATCTTCACCACTAAACTCCCACCTCCTTGGTCTCCCCAGACTCTCCACTGTGTCTCCACTATGTGAATCCATCAAACTTCTCCTGATTTCCCACCACCCTTTACCCTCCAGCCACCACTTGAAAACTCTCAAAGCAACAAGCTGAGACAATTGTACAGCTCACAGCTTCTCCCCACCCCAACTCTCAGAGTACATTATCCTTTGTTGTTGTATGTCTAATACATTGAAGAACTTTATTCCTATAATTTTTCCAATTCTTTTGGTTGTTTCAGGTGAGAGTGTTTGGTGAGAAATGGAAGTCATATTTCAGCCAAGCTAACCCTAGATATGGCACTAATGTCCTAGGATGGCCCATTTAAACAAGAGAAAAAGCTCCCTTCTCCAAACTTACTCATCTGTATAAGTTGAATTAACATATAGAGTCTGAAAGCATGTCATTTTTATCGGAGGTGCACTGAACATGGAAATTAGCAGCTTTCATGCTACTACTCCATTTAATCTTTGTCCAGCAACAGGATGCTGTAAATCTGGACATCTTTCTTAGAATAGATGTTTTACACAAAGATTACAGTTTGGTTATTGCTAGGAAATCAAGAGAATGGGATCAAATATCAAGAGTCCTGATAACAAACAGAATGCAATATTCCTAACATGACATCAAGGCTCAACCACAGCTTTTATATGATCCTTTGTTTCCTCTTTTACCAAATGGGAAAAATAACCTGTTTCCAAATACCCCTTGACCCTTAGCAATATTATGGCAGAAACCAGAGCTCACTCCTCATTGGCTAATTTACATATATGTTTAAACAATTTAGAATAGGTCCATTCTTCTTATTGGTCAACAACTGTTGTTTAGTGTATCTTTTTTAGTGTTCTGAAGGAAATATGATAAAAATTTCTTACTGTTACCATCTGAAGATGTTTGTACTGAAGTCACAATCAATGTTCATGTTAGTGTTACATCTAGTTCCTTTAATAAAAGAAAAACATTTTAAACCTATACATAATCAATATTTATCTTTGGAATTCCAAAAACTGAAAACATCACAGTTTAGATATATTAAGAAAATAAAATTTCATGGTGTAGTTAGTTAGTTAGTTATGAACCAAATTTTTAAACATGCATTTCTTGAAAAAATATATATACCTACATGTACTTATATAGTTCATTAACTTTCTAAAACATTCTAGAGCAATGGGGTATTTTAAGAATCTAGCTTAATCTCACATTATTAAGTGGGAAACTAGCTCAGAATTGATTCTTCACTCTCCAAAGCCACATGCATGGTTAGAAGTAAAACTCATCTGTTTTTTGTTCAGTGATTTCATTGCACTTTGCTGGCCCTCAGGCAAGCAAAGAGCCACTAAAATACATTTTGTAAAACTGTTGATTACAACTATACCTGGGCCATGGGAAATAGTGAGTAATGCATCAGTTTATAAATCGTGTCAACACACTTTGTTAACTGAATTGTAAAATAAATGGATGTGGAAAATTCACCTGTGTCATCAAATTCTGTGTCAATTTTCCTGGTTATTTTGTTTTCCAAAACAGTGCATTTTCCCCTTTGTTCATTTGGGAAATGGAGGAAAATTATATTATATCATTGTAACAAAAGAATACTAAGTTTTTCGCCTCCTTACCTCTCCTCCCCATAGCTAGTTTTCCATAGAAATTTTATTCTGAATAACTGCTATTCTTTACAATGAAACAAAAACATTCACCATTCCTATGGCAGGCATGTTTTTGCACAAACCCAATATCTTCTTAGTCTCAGTCCCTATGTGTCTCTTTTGGTTTGACAGAGATAAGAATATGGTTAAGATCACAAAATTTGAAATGTGATCATAAATTAATTAGAACATTTAGAGAAAAAAATAAAAGTTAATAATTGTGTCCCTTTTAAAATCTGATTTTAACATTGTTCATATTAAATACCCACGGAGAAATAAAAATGTTTCATAAATCATCTAGAAGAAATTATTCTTTTCACTATACATTATATTCTTTTGATTTCTGAAAATTATCAATGAGGGAAGATTAGTTAGGTAGCCCTCATGAGAACAGCCTTTTAAAAATTGTTTTAAACTAAATATTAGAAATTAAGAAAAATAGCCAACAATAACTTATATATATACATTTTTATAGCATGACTATTATAGCTGTTCCTACAATGCACTGTGGCATAGTTATTTTGCATATTTTATTTTAATTTTTTTCCTTATAGATAGCTTGGGCCAATTCATATAAAGTTGGCTGTGCAATTACAAATTGTCCAAACCTTGGGAGAGATAAAACTTCAATATTTGTATGTGACTATGGACCTGCGTAAGTAATTTTGCTATTAAAAATAGTTTATATTGAAATAAGTGTTACAAATTGTTTTCAAAATAGGGTTTTACACTAAAAAGACAAGAATATATTTAATAAATAAAGTCTCCCTCTATAATGCTAATCAAATGCTACAGATGAAAATTGAAAGTAGTGAGAGAATATTATTACTTTGTGTAAAGAATTATATGTGCCATGAAATATTTAAAGTTTAGATTGAAAATAATGAATATTGTTAACTGAAGAAAAACAAAACAAAACAGATAATCTAAAAGAATTGACAATTCTTTAGTGTGACAATATTTAGCATTGTCATACTAAATATTGGAAAACAAAAGAAGTTGGTAGATGCTTTCCTAGCATAATACAACATAACTGGAATGAGCAAATGATTCAGAATGATGGTAAAAAGCACATTCTTCTAAGAATAAAATATCATAAGTTTCATTGCCTTTTTGGTAATGGCACACCTAATTAGAAATATAACATAAGCCTAATGGGATGCCCCAAAAACGAAATTCTGGAACTCTAATCCAAATGACCTGTACAAGAAAGAAGATAAAATCTGTTCACAATCCAACCATTTAAGAAACAAAAATATTAAAATAAAATGTACAACAGATGAAAACACAGGCATAGAATAAATATACAAGTATTGGTTAAAAAAGAAGAAAGAAGAAGGAGAAGAAAAAGAAAGAAGGAAAAAGGATGTGGAGATGTGCCAAAATTGCTATGGAGAAGAACAAAGGTGTATATCTCTTTCCATATTTCTTCTACTCCCCCAGTTAGAAACAGAAATAATTATAACAAAAGCATAACTTAAAGAGAAGAAAAATAAAGGACAAATGAAACAAATAGAATAAATAAGAAGATGATAGCTTTAATCTTAACTATGTCAATATTAACATCAAATGTAAAATGCTACAAACACCCAAATGAAAAAGCAGAGATTATGAGAATAGATAACAAATCAAGAACCAATTATATGCTGCCTACAAGAAATATACTTTAAACATAAAGACACAAATACATTAAAAATAAAAGATGGAAAAAGCTTTACTATACTAACCTTAGTAAAAAGTAAATCTTTAATGTTTATGTTAACATCAGATCATGTGAATTTCAGAGGAAAAAACGTCACCAGGGATAAAGAAGACAATTAAAAATAATAATGGGGTTAATCAGGCAACTTGGATAAAGTGAACAAATCCTTAAAAGACACAAACTACAAAGAAGAAGTAAAATGAAAAAAATAACCACAGAGGAGTATCTTTTATGAACATAGGTACATAAATTCTAAATAAAATTTAAAATTTAAACCAAAAATATGGTAAAAGCACAATACACCTTGTCCAAATAAAGTTTATTCCAGGAATGTAGGTCTGGTTTGACATTCTAAAATCAATCTATGTAATTAAGCACATCAATCAGCTTAAAAATAAAGATCATATGATCATCTCACTAGACTGAGAAAAGGACATTTATTCCCAATAAAAGTTCTCTGTCATCTAGAAATAGAAACTCCTTAAACTAATAAAGAGCATCTTTGAAAAACCTGCATGTAATGTTATGCCAAACAGTAAAAAAAAAAAAAAAATTCTGTAAAGTACCAGACAGTACTTTTTCTGTAAAGTACAGAGAGTAAAAGTGTTAGGCTTTGCAGAACACATGCATTCTGTTACACATTAATCTTTGTGTTTTTTTATTATTTTAAATAACCCTTTAAAATATAAAAAATCAATTCTTAGCTCACAATCCACAAAAACAGACCACAAGACAGGTTTTTAGCTTAGGGACCATACTTTGCTGACTGCTGATCTATAAATCTATATCGAAAATCCAACTGAATCTATGAAAACTCTTCTATTAGTAAGTTTAGAAATTTTTCAGGATACAAGATCAAAATACAAAATGCAATTACATGCCCATAATCTAGCAACAAACAATCATAAATTGAAATAAAATGACAATACCATTTATAATAGCATCAAAAATGATAAATTATCTACAGATAAATCTGGCAGTAGATATGAAGGACTTATAAGATGAAAATTACATAATATTCATGAGAGAAATTAACACATACACAAATAAATAAAGAGATAGACCCAGTTAATAGGATAAAAGACTCAATATTGTTAAGACGTAATTTTTCAATAAATTGACCTATAAATTCAGTACAATACCAATAAATGTCCTGGCATGTGTTTATCATAAGTGTTGACAAATGATTCCAAAATTCATATGGAAATGCAAAGAACTTAGAACAGCCAAAACAACTAAGAAAAAGAACAAATTGGAAGAACTGACACTATTGTTTTCAAGAATTATTATAGCTAGAATAATCACAACATTGTGATATTGACATAAAGTTAGACAGATGCGTGGACAGAATAAGACCAAAAATAAACCCACACATGGTTGACCATATATGATTTCTCATACATGCACAAAGGCAATGCAGTGGAAAACAGATTTTTTTCAACAAATGCTACTGGAACAATATGTCATCCACTTATGAAAAACAAAAGTAAACTTGAATCTACACAAAATACAACCTACAAAAATAACTCACAACCGATCTTGGACCTAAATGTAAAACCTAATGTATAAAACTTGTGGAAGAAAACATGGGTGAAAGCTTTGTGACCTTAAGAGTCAAAAATTTTTGGCTACCACACCAAAAACATGATCCATAGAAAACAAATTTACAAGTTGGATTACATTAAAATTAAAAATTACAGCTATTTGGCTTCCAGTCAAGATGAAGGCATCAAAAAAGATTAAATTTATTCAAAGGCAATGATAAGAGAATAAAAAGATAAGCTACAGAATAGAATAAAGTCTTTGCAAAACATATCAGACAGGAGACTTGTACTACAAATATAGGAGGAACTATCACAACTCTATATGAGAAATACTTAAAACAATAAAAATGAATAAAAGGTTAATAAAGGAAATATGCAGATGGCAAATACGCAATGATAAAAACCTCAATATCATTAACCATTTAGAGAAATACAAATTAAAACCACAATGAATACTGCTACACAACAATGTGAATGGCTAAAGACTGGCCATTCCAGATCCAGAGGAAGATGTGAAGGAAGTGGAATTCTCAACCACAGCTGGCAGAAGTATATAGTGTCACAACTATTTTGTAAAAACAGTATGGCAAGTTCTCAAAAACTTAAATATGTACTAATCACTTGATCTATTTATTCCAGTATTAAATATGTATTATGAAAATGTATGCCCATAAAAAGACATATAAATGTTTAAAGGTGCATAGTAGTATTGTATGTAACAGCAAAAAACTGGAACAGCCCAAATGTCCATCAACAGATGAATGGATAAATGAATTGTGGTTTACTCTTTAATGAAATACTGATAATGTCACTAATGTTTTGCTTTGTGTACCCTAAGTAACACTTTTTAAAATATTCCACAGACACAGAGATGAAAAAAAGGCAAGTTTGTTAGAATGTAGTAGCTTATATTATTGAAAAGCAGGCATAATATCTGCCAAATGGTTGACCAAACGGTACCATTATTTGGTACACCATCAAACAGAACTAGATAAGGACTATCGTATTGTGTTTCCACTTGCAATTTAAATTTTGCTTATTTCATTTACAAAATAAAGAGATAGTCTTAGTGTTTTACAACAAAAATGAAATCTGTGTTTGTTACATACATAATTACACTGGGTTCACATCTAATTTGTGTTCTATAGAATATTCAAGAACATAAAACCCTGGCCAAGTAGTTCAGTTGGTTAGAGCATTGTCCAGGCATGCCAAGGTTGCAGGTTCGATCCCTGGTCAGGACCTATAAGAGAATCAAGGAATAAATACATGAAAAACAAATTGATGTGTGTGTCTTTCACTACCCCTCACTTCCTCTCTCTTTTTCAAAAAAAATTAATAAGGAAGATACAAAGTCAATATTCAGAAATCAAAAACATGTTTGTACAACAACAATGAAATATCAGAAACAGAAATCAGGGGAGAAAAATTCCATTTCCTATAGCAACAAGAAAAATAAAGTACCTAGGAATAAACCTAACCAAGGAAGCAAAAGATCTGTACTCAGAATTCTACACAACACTAAAGAAAGAAATTAAGGAAGACACAAATAAATGGAAGCATATACCAGGTACATGGACTGGAAGAATTAGCATCATCAAAATGCCCATACTATCCAAAGCAATTTATAGATTCAATGTAATCCCTATTAAAATACCAATGACATATTTCACAGATATAGAACAAACATTTCAAAAATTTATGTAGAACCATAAATGACCTGGAATAGCCGCAGAAACTTTGAGAAAGAAGAATAAAGTAGAAGGATGAACATACCTGACATCAAGCTATATTACCAGGCCACAGTAATCAAAATGGCCTAGTACTGGCATAAGAACAGACACATAGATCAATGGAACAGAATAGAGAGTCCAGAAACAAACCCAAGTCTCTATGGCCAATTAATATTTCACAAAGTGAGCAGAAGCATAAAATGAAGTAAAAGTAGCCCCTTCAATAAATGATGTTGGGAGATCTGGACAGCTATGTGCAAAAAAATGAAACAACCACCAACTTCTACCACACACAAAAATAAACTCAAGGTGAATAAAAAGACCTAAATATAAGTAAAAACAACCATAAAAGTCCCATAGGAGAACATGGACAGGAAAATCTCTGATGTTCCATGCAGCAATATTTTCACTGATATATCCCCTAGAGCAAGAGATGTAACGGAAAGAATAAACAAATGGGACTTCACAAAATAAAGAGCATATGCACAGTTAAAGAAAACATCAGCAAAATGAAAAGGGAACCAACCATACAGGAAAATATATTTTCAAATGATAACTCGGACAAGGGTTTGATCTCAAAAATATATAAAGAACTCACACAACTCCCCTCCAGGAAGACAAACAATCCAATTAAGAAATGGGCAAAGGACTTGAACAGACATTTCTCCAAGGAAGACATACAGAGGGCCCAGAGTCATATGAAAGGATGCTCAGCATCACTAGCCATTAGAGAGATGCAAATTAAAACCACAATGAGATACCATGTCACATCGGTCAGAATGGCCATCATAAACAAAGCAACAAACAACAAGTGCTGGAGAGACTGCTGAGAAAAGGGGACCCTACTACACTGTTGGTGGGAATGCAGACTGGTGCAGCCACTGTAGAAAACAGTATGGGATTTCCTCAGAAAACTAAAAATGGAACTGCCTTTTGACCTGGTAATTCCACTGCTGGGATTATACCCCAAGAAGCCTGAAACACCAATTCAAAAGAATCTATGCGTCCCAATGTTCATAGACGTGCAATTTACAATAGCTAAGTGTTGGAAGCAACCTAGGTACCCATCAGTAAACAAATGGGTAAAAAAACTATGGTACATTTGCACAATGGAATACCATGCAGCAGAAAGAAAGAAGGAGCTCCTACCCTTTGTGACAGCATGGATGGAACTGGAGAGCATTATGCTAAGTGAAATAAGCCAGGCAGTGAAAGACAAATACCATATGGTATCACTTATAAGCAGAACCTGATCAGCAAAACCAACAAGCAAAATAGAACCAGAGACATTGAAATAAGGAACAAACTGATGGTAACCAGAGGGGAGGGGGCAAAGGAGATAATGGGGGAAATAAGGGGAAAAGTCATCAAGGAACATGTTTAAGGGACCATGGATGAAGCCAAAGGGGGATGGGATTGAGGGTGGGAGAAGGGGGTGGGAGAAGGGGGTGGGTGGGCCGGGGGGTAGGAGATGGGGGAAAATGGAGACAACTGTATGTGAAAAACAATAAAAATAAATTTAAAAAATTAATAAAGAAATATTTTAAAAGACTATAACTTACTTTTATGAATATGCTGTGAAGAACAGTTTAAAGTTTCTTTTTACAAAATAAATAAGCATAAAATTAGGACAAAAGTTATTTTCCTTTCAAAATTCATCATTTAATGAGCAACCACAAAACTTACAGAAACAAATGAACAAAATTAGAGTAATAAATAGCCATTTGGCTACTCAATGTTTCTCTTTGTTTACAGAGGAAATTATATAAATACACATCCTTATAAAAGAGGAGCGCCCTGCTCTATGTGTGGAGGAGAAACCTGCGAAAACAAGCTCTGCCGTAAGCAAAAAAGGGAAAAAATAATTGTAACATTCTATTTAGAAAGCAAAAACTTAGCTCTCCTCAAGTTTACAAAGTTGTGTGCAGGATTTGACTGCTGCTATATGATGACATAAATCATTTGTCATAAATTATATTTAACCTCAGATAATCCCTCCCTTCTTCACTGAATGTTCTCCTTCTCAGGCTAAAGGACAGAAAGAAGTGAGTTATAAATTTGGTCAAGCCTGCTGCTACACAGTATATATTTGCTAGTATACAAACAACCACCAGTTGAAATGTTTATTAGCATTTGCCTCCATTCTCCTCCTCTTATTAATTATTATTAAAATAGTGACTTACTCAGAAGTCATACGTTAATTAATGTCCAAATTAATTGTGATTTAAAATGAATGTTTCTCTTCTATCATCAGCCTTTTGGTTCTCAAAACAAAGATACTTTTTAAGGATAAGTGTATAAATCCTTTGATTGAGGATAAAGTGAAATGGGTAAAGGGGATAGGTGATTTAGAAATGGTTAAAAAGAAAGTTGTGATGCCACAAAACAAGAAAGACACCAAATAAAAGCATATCAGATGATTTCACTTACATAAAGTTCAAAATCAGGGAAAAGAAATCTACGTGTGGAGTCAGGATAGCTCCTTATCCTGACCTTACTTACCTTTAAAGGAAATAGGAGTTAGTAATCACAAGAGGATACCAGAAGGTTATCTAGGTATATTCACTTTGTGATAATTCATCAAACTTCCCAGGAGATATGTATATTTCCATATCCATGTTATACTTCAGTTGAAGAAGTATGGTGCCTCTAATTCCAGATTACCTTAAAACAATTTAAAAAATAAACATATTGATCCTGGCCAGTGTGGCTCAGTTAGCTGGGCATTATCCCACAAACCAAATCAAAGGTTTGATTCCGAGTGAGGGCATGTGCCTGAGTGTGGGTTTGGTCCCCGGTCAGGGCACATATGAGTGGCAACCAATTGTTGTTTCTCTCTCCCCCACTCTTTTTCCCTCCCTTCACCTCTCTCCCTCTCTCTCTAAAAGCAATAAAAAGAAAATTCCTAGGGTGAGAATAAAAAATAAACAAGTAAACTTATTGCATTATTAATGCATTATGCATAATGCAACTGGAAACTAATGTTTTTAGTCAAAGACATATAAAGATAATAATGATGCACTTTTTTTTCACTTTTCCTTCTTGCCCAGTGTCCAAGCCACTGTCATTTCTCTCTGAACTAGTATAGTCTCCTATTTCTGTTTGTACTCTACTCCAAATTGTTTACACAAAGAAAATCAGATCAAATACCTTGTTTTCTTAAAATTTCTCAATTGCTTTTTACTCCAGTTGAAGTATGTGACTCTATACCATGTAGCTGCCAAGCACAAGCGTGATCTGACTCTTCCCTCTCTGTCCTGTATTTTTTGTTACCCTCTCTTTGACATCACCATTTTCAGACACTCCAACCTCTTTCTAAAATCTCCAGCGTCCAAATCACCTGTGAGTCTGCTTCTACTTTCAAGATTGTTTTGTTTTCTCCTAGTTTTGGTAATAGGCTGTTTCTCACTGTGGTACATTGCCTTTAAAGATGGCTACCCCCAACTCCTCCCCTTCTTTACAAGCACGCCTCTATGCCCATCAAGGAATGGAGCTTATTTCTCCTCCCCCTGAACAAGGGACTTAATGTTATACCAGTTCTGGGCTTGGGCTTTAAGAGACCTGGCAGCTTTGACTTTTGCTCTCTGGGAAGCTCCCCAGCATATGGAGAAATCTGTGTTCTCCTGCTCAAGAGATCACATAAGGAAAGGCCCTGGAAGAGGAGAGGCCACCTTTCTGTTTCAGCCCCAACTGAATTCCAGTGAAATGCAGCCATGTCATTGAATCCTGATGACACTACATATGACAGAGAAATTGCCGAGTAGAGCCACCTGATCCACGTAATTGTGAGAAGTAATGAACTGGTTTTGTTTTAAGCCATTAAGTTTGGAAGTCTGTTTCACAGCACTGTGTCATACCAACACACTTGGTATGACTGTTTTTATTAAATACCTAACATGTGTAAAACAAACTACAGAAAATTCTTCCTTTTCCTCTGCTGAACAGATGGACTTGGGGTTGTTCAGCCGAATCCAAACACAGTTTAGTCAAGGCTGGATTAGAATTTAGGTGAAGCTTGGTCTACCTCTGTTTACTCTTCCCTGTTCTGAGGGTGTAGATTTCTAGGGCTTTCACGGAGAGGCCGGTGTATTCACTGTGGCCCTTCCCTGGTGGCTTCTAAACTCCAATCTATTTTTACATTAGCACACTGGAATCACTAAAAAGTCTGCTTTCGTTTACAAAGTCTTTCAGTCTAGCATTCTAACCTCCTGCCCCTCACAGATTCAAAATTAAAATAGCTTAAGTACAAAATGGATACTTACCAGCTAATGTCCTTCACCTGTACCACTCACCAGAATCTTGACCTACTCAATTCTTCAATTTTCTCTCTCTCAGCCTCGCACCAACAAAAGCCCTGCTAGTTTCTCTTTTCCCCCAGAATTAGCCTCTTCTAGAGCAAAGTCCATATTTTCAGCCCTAAACCTGGACCCAGAATTTAAAAAATGGCCCCAGAAAAAAAGCAACATTCATAACCTCAGCCCACCTCTCCATGGAACTTCTGTCCTGAAATCTTCAGCCTCCAGTCTTTGCTGCTTTAAGTCTCTGATTCTCTTAAACTTTGTTTTGTTGTGTTTTATCTGGATTTTCTAGCTGTGCTTGACGACAATTTCTGTCTGTCACAAACGATTTCATTACTGAGACTTAAGCAAGAATTGACAAGTCTCTAAGAAAGAAAATCAGATCAAATACCATATTTTCTTAAGATTTCTCAATTGTTTCTTACTGCAATTGAAGAAAATCTGACTCTGTACTGCCCAAGCTGCAAAGGCTACGATAAACTTTGAGACCTGGTAGGTCCTCTCCCAACTTCTTTTCCAGAAATTATTTGGCAATTCTTGGCCCTTTGTTCTTACAAATTGATGTTACAATAAGTTTATCAATTGCGCGGAAGACCTTGAAATTTTGGTTGGCATTACATTTACTTTATAGATAAATTTAAGAAGAATTGCTGTATTTTGGGGACCATAACATGCACCTAGGTTTTAGAGGAGGAGATTAGGGGGGAAAATTTGAAGCAAAAAATGTGGTAAAATATTTAATAACAAAACTAACCTAATATTTCACCAATGTAAATGTAAACAGAATTCAACAGCAGCATTAACAACCATTATTCCTCCCAAATTTGGGGGGGGGGGTGGGGAGTATGTCTTATAGTCCAAAAAATACAGTAACATCTTTACAGCATTGGCTATATTAATGAAGATTGTTTATTTGGGTTTTTAAACATTTTTCAGTTAAGTTTTTGAAATTTCCTCAGTAAAGTCCTCGCAGATCAAATTAGATTCCTTAGTAACATGTATTTGTTGCTATTAAAATGATATTTTAAAATTATATTTCCTAATTGATTTTTGTTGATTTATAGAAAGATAAATTATTTTCATATTAGTCTGCTATGGAAGAATCTTACATAATTATTTTATTAATAGTTTGTTCATCTTGTTAGATTTTCTAATGTTCTCTATAAGAAATGTAAGTTTGGCCCTGGCTGGCATAGCTCAGTGGATTGAGTATGGGCTGCAAACCAAAGCATTGCAGGTTCAATTCCCAGTCATGACACATGCCTGGATTGCAGGCCACGGCCCCCAGCAACCGCACATTGATGTTTCTCTCTCTCTCTTTCTCCCTCCCTTCCCTCTCTAAAAATAAATAAATAAAATCTTTTAAAAAAATAAATGTAAGTTTGTTCAGTCATCTAACCTTTATATTAGTCACTTACTTTACTAACATTAATAGTGAATCTTCCAGTGTAATATTGGAGATAAGGGAATAGTGACACCATTCTCTCATTCCTGACTTTAAGGATGATGTTCCACCAGGTGATGGTAGTTTTCTCTTTTCCTTATTTTGCTTTGAGCTTTTATCTTACATGAGTATTTAATTTTATCAGATTCTTTTTTGCATCTCATGAAATGATTCCAAATTTTTTCCTTTAATGTCTTAATGTTGTAAACTACACCAAAGGATTTCTTTCTTCCTTCTTTCTTTTTGGAAATTGTTTTGGAAGTAGTACTTTGTAATTTTATTTTTTTTTATTTACTTTTTGTACTTTCAATTCCTCTTGAGTAGATACAATTTTTAGAAACAAACTGCTTCAATTCAGTAATATTTTCAAATTTTTGTAAAGAGATACATACAGGGTGGTTTTTAATTTTTTAAATCTTTTATCACATCCTGTTTTCATTTAGTTTATTGTTTCCCTTGTTCTTATTTTTTTAAACAACTTTATTGAGGTATGATTGACATGCAAAAGCTATACATATATTTAATACATACAACTTTAACAGTGCGATTTATATTTTCATATAGATACTAAAAGTTATGTCCTAGAAATCCAACTTAAAACTCATTTTTGAGTCTCATAATAAATCTAAATTGGTCATAAGATTTCTTTTATAGATGGTTAGATTCTTGTTAATATTTTACTTAATGTTTTCATTTTAATTTTAGATACATCACTTGCCTGAAATTTTCCATCCTCACTTCTCATATGATTTTGACTTTAAGCTTGAAATAACCTCATAAAAAAAGTTGAAAATTGGAAGTGTAAACTCTTTTAATATTTTGGTTACAGTTTGTAGAAGATTCTGATTATGTTTTGAATGTTTGGGAGTTTTCTGTAAAACAATCTTGTTCTGGGTTGTATGTGTTTGTACACTTTAAAGTACTGGTGTAACTTTGTTAAATGTTATATGATATTAAGCTTTGGTGGCAAAATTAGCAAATTTCTGTTTTATACAAGTTTTAATGAAAATCTCTTATATTTTTAACTGCTCTATTTGCTACAATTATGTAAGTCCTATGATTTTTGATTTGTGGTCTCTCTCTCTCATTGCTATTGCTGCTCAGTTTCTATGGATGCCAGCTTTTAGTTTTGTAGACTTCGTTTTTGAGACAGAGGATATAAAGCTTAATAGATAAAAGTATAGGCCTTGGAGTAAGATGGCTTAACTCAGGAAA